ATATTGCAGTGTGTTTAAGAATGAAGTTTTGGACAAGTATATGTAATTTTAAATTGTGGTTTTTAAATAAAACTTTTCAGAATGTTCATTTCACTACTATCCAAAGGAAATACTTCAATGAAACAAAAGGATTAGAGTACATCGAGCAGTTGTGCATAGCAGAATTCAGTACTGTCTTAATGGAGGTTCAGTCCAAGTAAGTTTTGCCTTACAGAAAATAAAAAATCTCTGGTATGAGTTCCATGAAGACAAGATCTTTTATCTTTTGTTCTTGGTTGCATCCTTACCACCTAGTCAAACGCTTGGGTCATATACACACCCAGTAATTATTGATACAGTAAAACAAATAAATAAACATAAAAATCACTTTACTTTATAACTCTTCACAGATAATGCATGTTTTACCAATGGAAGGTTTGTGGCAACCTTGCCTTGAATGAGTTAACCAATACCATTTTTCCACTACCATGTGTTCACTTTGTGTCTCTGTGGCACATTTTTGTAATTCTCCTAATTTTTCAAACATTTTCATAATACTGTTGAATGCTTAGTGGACTAAAGTATAGTATAAATATAACTTTTTTAATGGTTTTGTTGGCGTATAATTCACATATCATACAATTCAATAGTTTAATTACATCAAGAAGGGTTGTACAGTTATCACCACCATCAGTCTTAGAACTTTTTTTCATTCTTGTACTCATCATTATCAGATTACCCTTGACTTTCTTGCAATACCCCAGTTACTGCCTCTATACATTTACCTATCCTGGATTTCATATGAAGAAAAACATTAAAAAAAAACACCCAAAGCTAACAAAAATAACAAAGTGAAACAGATAAAAACTTCAATGGAAAAGAAAGCAGGTATGGATTGTTATAAGCGCTGTAAGATACCGCAATAAAATTATTTAAAAAAAGAAAACCAATAAACACCATTATAATAAACAGGAAAAAAATTAAAAAGAAAAGAAAGCAGGAAACATTAAAAATGAGAACAAATTTAAGTGGATATTAAGGAATATGACACTAAATTATAACCTAACTGCATCTGTGACAACCCACTTTCCAATGTATACATAACTCTTTAAAAAATAATTTTATTGGGGGCTCGTATAACTTATCACAATCCATACTGTATACATAACTCTTAAACGTGTACCGAGAAAGCAAAACTTTGCCTGACTCACTGTATTGTGGTATTTGCTCTATTGTGGTGGTCTGAAATTGAACCTACAATATCTCTGAGGTATGCTGAACTTTCCCAGATTTGTTGTAATCTATTTATTGTATGTTGATCACTTGATTTTTGAGAGAAAAATCTCAAATAGCTATCGGAAAGTGAGGGCATAGAACTCAAATGGAGTTAAAACTGTGTTCATATTACTTTATATCTTTGCCATTAAAATAGTGTAAGACAGGTAATGATATTTTTTGAAGAGATATATCTTGAAACATGCTGCATACACACTGTTTTTGAACCAGATTGAACTGTACTGGTGTCTCACTCACAATGGCTATTCCTCAACAAGATTGTAGGATACTTTCTGGCACAACAGAACCTCTTGATTCTACTTTAAAAATGTCAAGCTCTTTTGACATTATTAGAATACTTAGAATGGCATATAAAGAATGGCATTGATTATTGTCCTCTAACATGATTTTTTAACATATGTTGTTGCCTTCATCATTTTTTTTAACGTTCTTTTAAAAATCATTTTATTAGGGGCTCATACAACTCTTATCACAATCCATACACACATCAGTTGTGTAAAGCACATTTGTACATTCATTGCCCTCATCATTCTCAAAACATTTTCTCTCCACTTAAATCCCCGACATT